CAAACTTGGGATATCTTGATGGATTTTCTGGTGACGCCTTGTTTCAGACAAAAAATATGGATTCCTTCTTGGGATTGATGATCGTAGAGACGCATGCAGCATATGGTGTAGCTACAAAAAAAAAAACATGAATTGTGCAATTGTCTTCTCACCGAATTTGGATAGTTTTATAAATTGCATGCAAATTCACAAGTAAGAAACATACAAAAACGTGTGAAACTGCAGTATATTGTAAAGTCTTAAGTTGTCATAACCATCCCAGTGTATCTTGAAAGAACCATCAGATCGCGCCATGTCCTTGCCTGCTTCAACGGGCCAAGCGGAACAGACCCTTGGTGGTTGACCTTTGATGGTTGATGATGATGATGATGATGAGGATGATGATGATGATGATCATCATCATCATCGTATATATATAGTGAATGTATATATATATATATTGAATGTATATATACATATATATATAGTATTATTCACATGTGTTTTCATCAAGAACAGCATATGTCTATATATATATATATATGTATGTATAACATATCATACTTATTTATATATATAGATATCGTGTATACATATCATATATCTACATGTACATATATGTGTGCATATGATGTTGCAGGTATATTTGTCTACATATTTGCAGTAGACGTAAATGTGGATTAGGACCTCACTGGTCCACCTGTTGCATCAGAGTTATCTATTTGTTTAGAAGATATATCATTGATATAGCCATCAATCATGTGGATATCCAGCGTTAATAACCATCAATAGCAGTGTCGCCCCATTGTTAGCTAGGCTGCTTTACAACTAGGTCAATTAGGGTTGCCGGTGATTATGACTAAAGTGAATGGGATGTTTAAACCAAGCTATATATGACAAGGGAGCACCGCAGCACCACCTTACAGCACTGAAGCAGCCCAAATTTGCTGGCTCCAGAAGGGATTCAGCATTTTGGGCCAGAGCCACATCTGGTTGGTGGTTTGGAACATGAATTTTATTTTTCCATATATTGGGAATAATGATCCCAACTGAAGAATATTTTTCAGAGGGGTAGGTATACCACCAACCAGATACACATGCAATCACCCTTCACCTACCTACGGAGTTTGAAGATATCCCCAACTCAAATGGATCAGCGCTTGCTGCCCTTTTTTCCTGGCGAAATAATTAAGGGCGGTTTAAAAAAATCTCGCTATGTGACATACCCTTGCAGTATATGTAGCTGGTTGATTTTTGATATCCTCCAGTAAATTAACATAGACCCTGGTAGATAGGGGTTGGAAGATTAGTCTCCTCTAACAATTGGTGATTTTCAGGGTCAACAAGTTAATTTACCAGAGGGTATTCAACCACCCTTTGGGATGATAATTCCAAGTGACTTCACATCTTTCAGGGCTTCAACCACAGATGTGTCTGTTGTTCAACAAGAAGCGCTGCTGGAAGAAAGTCGATTAAAGGAAGGCCTGGTCGAAATAATTCTCAGCACCAATTTTGGGGTATTACTTATATAGTCTGTTTTTGTGCCAATCTGATTAATACATGGTGTGCGGTTCCGAAATGGGATGGTCATCAAATCATTATTGTTGGGACAAAGCTCACTGATCTCAATGTTTCATACAAATCCCATTGGACTCCCATTGGACTCCCATGTTTTTCCAAGATGTTCTTTCCCCTGCACCCAGGAATCCCAGGAATCTGGATTTGCTTGGAGTGAGCTGTCATCACCTGAAGAATGATCTGATGGACTGCATCCGAGCCCACGGAGAGGACGAACTGAAGATGGCCGGGATGTCGTTCGGCTATGATGCCATACTATAAAGATGTGCGCTTCGGTGAGATTCTTCTAACCAACTCACGTTATAGATCCTTAGTATTACCAACTATTTTGTATTACTTTCGGATTCTGGAAATCAGGATTGACGCTAGCGATTTGTGTAAAACCTCCAAGGTTGACTGGCCTCATCCGTCATTGGTTTTCTCATGTGTCTGTGCAGTTGGAGGAGAGCTGCTATAGCGAATACATGCGAATACTGATATGCAGATATAGAGGACCTTTAAACATAGCTGGTAATCAAACATGCACCCCGTCTGCGTGGGAAAGAAGCAGAGATCTCCAGTTTTCAGGTCTAATTGTTTAATGCCACCTCTAGTGCAGCCATATTGCTGCACATTGAAACAGTTGTTTTTTGGATGTTTCTATCATTCACTCTTCTGCAAATCTCGCGACTTCGTTTGACTTCAGGTTTTTAGGGCCAACTGTGACAAATGTTCATAAGTTTTTCTAGTAGTGCGCTAAAAAAGGGCTGCATTTATAGTTTGTTTAATCAAAAAGACAGCTTACAGTGTAGGTTTTCCATGGTTTCCATGGTTTATCATGGTTTTCCTGGGCCTCGGTCTGTTGGCGTATGCTGAATGACTTGATGAGACCATTCTCTACGGGTCGAAACGCCATAAAACAACGAGTGAACCAATTCATTACCATCATCATCATCATCATCACCATCATCATCAACAACAACAGTGTATATTATGTCATAGTAAAAATAATGTAATATTATATATAATATTATATATAAATATACTAAATATAATATAATATAATATGATATGATATGATATGATATAATATAATATGATATGATATAATATAATATGATATGATATGCTATGATCTAATATAATATAAATATTATACAATACACTATAATATAATATATAAATAGTATAATTTAATATAATATAATGTAATGTAATGTAATTTCATATATATCTAATATAATATAATGTTATGTAATGTAATGTAATATAATGATACATATGATATCATATATATATATATATGTTGTAAATATGTGTGTATAGTGTGCCCCCGAAGTTTCCTTTGTGTTTCCCCAGGGGCCAAGCGTGTGAGTCCAACAGGAGCTGTCTTCCGTGAGCGTGCACGGGATCGAACCCTTGATCCGCGAACGGACCCAAGAGGTGCCTAAAAACCTGAATCGACATGGCGTGTAACACGGTGATTCCAGGGTCATAGTAAAATTGCATACTGGTAAGAGGAAATATGATATATTAATATAGGGAAATATTCCAGGGTATATATTAATATGATACTGGTAAATAAAATATAGGGGTTACAACAATATCCTCTGGTTATTTTTTTTTTGAGAAAAAAGTGTGTTAAAATCAAAAAGCAAACAGAAAATCAGAATCACAAAGCCCCAACTATGGCAATGGGTTTGCAAATGCGACCATAACAAGTCGACTTCGCAGAAGTGGGTGCAAGGCGCTCGAAAGCCAGTGGGACATGGTGCCCAACAAAACACTTCCCCATGGCCAGACGTTGTTTATTCGTTCGTTGAGGCGGTAGAGGGCACAGGTGGACTCTGTTGATTTGTTTGTTGAGATGTTCTCAGTACTCTCTGATGATTTAACATAGCCATGGAAAATGGCCCATAGAAATAGATGGTTTACCTATTAAAAATGGTGATTTTCCACGGCTATCTTAAAGAACCAGATGGTAGGCAATATATGTTTCTAATGATTTATTTCTGGCAAGGGACCACAGACTGTTGCAACTTTCAGCTAGGCGTCAACCATTGCATTTTGGTTGTTTCTCAACTCTGATCCATACTTGCCCGGTCACATCCTCATCTTGAAAATTATGATCAACAACTGTTGTCTATGTGCAGTTCATTTACATATATCCAGTGACTATGGTGTGGGTATCCATATTCCGTTTTTATTGAGGAGCCGTTCGGAACTACGAAAAGAGTTTCAAAGCACATGATAGCTGATTGGTGGTTTGGATTTTTTTATTTTTCCATATTACATATATATATTGGGAATAGTAATCCCAACTGACGAACTCCATCATCTTTCAGAGGGGTAGGTATACCACCAACCAGCAAGGCATCATGATTCCAATAAATCTTGCTTTGAGGATCCCCAAAATCCGTTCCGTAAAAAACACGAAGGGATCGGGCCCAAAAACCATGGTTCCAGTTACCAGTTGCCAGGGAATCGGGTGATCATCCAGGTTTTGTGTCCAAAGACTGGCAAGCTGGGTTCATCCTATGTGGATGCACTACAAGGTGCCGCGTGTCGTGCCGAGTCGTGCCTGCCTGCTTGCTCATTGAAGTTATATGAAGTTATATATTGTTCAGAGTTGGAGCAAACCCCCCAAAGATTTTTCATGAGGCTAATAGTGGGAAACTACTGTTCTATCATGTCCCCAAAAAAATTGGGGGTCACTATAAAATACCAAAAAGGATACTAGTAGTTTTGGAGATTTTTCAGAGTTGCGGCGTCAGATGTCTGAGGCGAGGATGTGGGCATGTCCAATTTCATGCTGAGCAGCTCGGCCGTTTCGGATGTGCTCGGGTTCGACAGGAAAACGAGTTCGACAGGAAAACGTGTTCGACAGGACATACCTCAGTGATACCCCAGTGTTTTTAATTAACTACTGATTTGGATGCACCTCCAGGTATGCTAGTATAGATTGAGTTTGAGAGATTTGGCATGTGCCCAGTGATGTTTGCATGGCGACTCAATGTATTTTTTGGATGAAACAAATGATTGATGTTGTGTTCAAGACCATTTTGGATTTTGATGTTACTTTGATCGTCCACATGTGTGTTTGTCCATGAAGATTGACCGAAACATGGGGTCAACATGATACCAAACTAATGACATGTGATGCCGGTTTAATAATGCACCAAACTAAAAAGTGCGGCCATTTTGGGATATAGTTCCGCCAATTCCCATCAGTGACGTGGGAGTGAGTGCGAATCATGTATCCAGATGCATCTAGACTTTATGCAAGTTCCTTTTGGATCCTACCTAAGTCTGGAATTGCCTAGTATGTATTTGTGTTTTTCCCCATTTTTCCCTTTTGAAATGGTATTCAACCCCAAACGTATTTGGCATAGATGTGGCTATAGATAGAAACCGAGGTAGCCTGACTTTCACACCAGGCCCTCTGGGCATCCCTGGGCGCCAAGGTTATTCCTGGTGTTACCTGGTCACCGACATCGTTACTTCCTTGGTGCATCACTGCCAGAATTGGGGGCGAGAAGAGCTCAGAAGCTTGGCGGTGCCTAGATATGCCTAGGTCACTTTGGGTCATCAGAAGTTGGTGATATGCTGGGTCCTGAAATGCGGGAGTAACATGAAATGTGTAGGATATTTGGTATGTGTTTAGTCCACAAAGGAGGAAATGGATGGAAATGTCATGGAATACCCTCTGGTAATCAAATTGTGGCAATGGAAACTACCCCACAGATGAAGGTTTAAATGGAAGGTTCATCTATAAATGGTCGATGTTAAATTGTAAAACCTCCATTTATAGGGGATTTCCCATTGCCATGTCTTATTTCCGGAGGTATTATATATATATATATTCATCCATCTATGCAGTCTTATTGCCTATGTAATTTCATTTCTAGTCGATGGACTACCAAGTTGTTTGTTTCACAACCACCCTCCATGTTGATATTGATATTGATGTTGATGTTGATGTTGTTCTTGTTCTTAACCTTGTTCTTGTTGTTCTTGTTGTTCTTCTTGTTCTTCTTGTTCTTCTTGTTCTTGTTGTTCTTGTTGTTCTTGTTGTTATTGTTGTTATTGTTGTTTTCGTGTATTTCTCCCAGCCAAAAATGGACAAGTGATTGATTGATACTGTATATACGAGTATAAGTTCTATGATTTTCCTGCTAGGTTAATTTCCAAGTGGGACCTCAAGATTTCTTTGATACAATCTTTGATACAATTAGGTTTCATAAAATCATGGGCTTTAAACTGAGGTTTCATCTGGTTTTAGCGTTTTTTTCTCTTGGCTCGGCTCTTTGTTTTCCCACCTCTTTGTCGAGAGTGACTGGAGATGACCCGATATTATTTGGGTAGTGGCTGCGGTCCCCTGTTGCTTCATATGGTGTACTATCCAATATATTGATTGCACCAGGAAGGAAATCGTGAAAAACTGCTAGCAGTGTTCATCGCAACACTTGCAATGCCATAGGATCCATGTATGCTATATATGGTAACATTTACCATCAATATACCCCCAATGTTAGCATATATACCAGCACCATGGATCCTATGGGAATGCCAGGAACCTACTTCTGGATTTGCTGCTTTTGCATCAATCAACACCGTGTCAAGGAGGCGATGCCAGTCAGACGTTTCCGGGGGCTTTTGGACCCTCAAAAATAGCAAGCCTTTGGTGGAAACTAATCCTCCACCCCCCTCTAGATGACAAGGTTTATTCCAGTTGGGAGGATGGTACCACATTGATCTCATGGTAATGCTTGTGCCACAGCAAAGGGTGATGTAAATATGTTAGCCGCATACATCTTGAATGACCTGCCTACATGCGTGCAGAAACACAGTGGTAGATATGAGGATCTTATGCCTCAGGACCATGAATTCGCGTTTCTTTCCCATTGGGAACATCCGTGGTATCCAAGGAGAGGACGTCCTGTCCTCCAGGTTTTTTGCATTGACATCTCAGATGATCTGCCAGCTCCACGATCTCGACATATCTCAACTGGCTGATCCAAGAGATTTGCTGGTGCTAGACTAGACTATCAAATATGATCCACTGACATCCCTATTTTGGGCATGCCACCAGGATTTCCTGGACCTTGGCCACATGTTTAGCTATAAAGATTGGCTGAAAGAGCAAAATATAGATCGTCAAAACTGGTGAAAGACATTGAAACACCCATTTTCTATATTTGAATTGGTTGGAACATGATAATTACGAATAATGTTCTACTTTTGTCTCTCGGTGGGTTTTTCGTCGTGGTCGCACTCTAGCTCACTTGTCCAGGCCAAAGATCTGGTGCATTGAAGCCATGGTTGACTTCAGAACCATCCCTTGCATATCACCATAATCCATCACCAGAACCATCCCTAGTGGTTTCACCAGCCATCCCCATCTAGGGTTTTTAACCATCATAACATGGATTAGCCACTAGATGGTGATAATGATTCTGGTTTTTAGCCACAAAAAAATCATAATCCATCCTGGCCAATGGTGATAATGATTCTGGTTTTTAGTTTTTAGCCACAAAAAAATTAAGAAAATCCATCCCTGACCAATATCACCAATATCACCATTCCGAAGCATCTGTCGGACACGGTGAACCGGGTGAATCCAAGATGATCGGAGGGAGATGAATGGATTTTCTATCCTGGTTGGTGACTGGAACATGAATGGAAAAAATGACTTTCCCCCCCAAAAAAAATGGGAATTTCATCATCCCAAATGACGAATTCATGAATTTGTTTCAGAAGGGTAGGTCGGTACACCACCAACTAGCTATTGTCATCACCAAAATTCAGCTGGGTTTTCATTGGTGGCCTCTGTTTTCACCAGCGCTAGGCCCAAGCCCTGGGCATCAACGTGCCCTTCGAGGAGTTTCGAGAGGCGACCCATGTGATCCACGATGATCACTGAGTTGATGTCCACCAGCTGAGGAGCTGATGAGCCACGAACATATAGCAATATGATGCAACAACATGTCACATATAGCATATATATATATATATATAATGATGTTTAATATTACCCATACATGTATAAACTTACTGTATATAAAATCATGATATGCTTAATTATGTAGCCATATGCATAAACTTAAACTTACCATACAAGCAAGTAGGTTCTATGTAACTATCGATGGGCTAGGAGGGAGCTAAGGAGCTAGGGGTATTAAAGTTGGAAACCTGGAAATTGCAAACACATCATCCAACTATGAACCATCCAACGGAAATGTGTTTAACTATCCTTTTTGGGAGTTACCATACAGAATTCGACTAATATATCGTTGTATACATATGTACATGTATGCTTCTAATATAGAATATCAAGCCGACAGATTCCATAGATAGTTTCCTGGACTTGCTGAATGATTTGTTATGGGAGTCATCATCCACCATTTTTGGAAGCTTCACAGAGAATGTGTCTTTTCATGGCACCTTTTTTTTTCGCAAATTCAAATGGATTTGAATCCACCAATCCGCCCCATGACCCACCGAGTCTGAGTTGGGGCAACGGGGCAACGGGGCAACGCCCAGTTCACCTTGAGGATCCTCCCATTTTTGCACTGAAAAACGATGAGTTCATCCACTGAAGTATGGTAACCCAATCCAATCTGTGTATTTATACATAGTTATATTATATTACAAATAATATTAACCATATATTGTGCAATACATTACACATCATTAACCCTATATGCTAAGCATACATAGGTTGATTACTGTAATATATACAAATAAAACACATTAACCATATTAATTAACATATAACTGGTTGGTGGTTTGGAACATCTTTTATTTTTCCATATACTGGGAATGTCATCATCCCAACTGAGAGTTCATATATATTTTTCAGAGGGGTGGCTCAACCACCAACCAGTCATTCATTCATGATTACCCTCTGGTAATTTAACATAGCTATTGAAAATGGCCATTTAGATAGTTGATTTACCCATTAAGCATGGGTGGCTCAGCCACCAACCAGTTATCCATTAAGATTCTCATTAGAGCCCAAAAAAAAACATTAAAAAAAAACATTAAGCCACCATTAAATGCCATTTCCCAGCTACAAAATGCTGGATTTGTCCATATAAATCACCATTTTCCCATGGTTTTCCCAGCAAAAAAACACCAAAAAACGACCGGAAGGCCTTCGAAGTCCGCGTGCGCGGCATCAAACACGTCCTGGCTCTCATGGCACCATGGGACCAGCCGGTGCCTGGGCTCGGTGCCTCCTGGTTGGTCCTGGTTGGTTGATGATGATATATAGGGGATCATACTACTCTATATATATGGTGATCGATCTAAAGGTCCTTGTAAGGAGTTTTAATTGCGAAAGCCGTGCATGTTATGTTGGAAACCCTCGCGAAAGTTTTTTTTCGAGTTCGCGAAAGTAAAATTTTATTTCGCGAAAGTTTCGCGAAAGTTGGGTATTATAATCATTATATGTAAAGGGCTGCCACCCACTGCCGCCCGGGGTCCGGCAGGAGAAGGGCACCAGAGAATGCGAGTAGCAGTAGCCAAGTTTCCAAAAGTGAGGCTTTGCGAGAGCCAAACACCAAGGCCCCTGGTCTTCGCTTTTCCTTCAGTGCACCCCCTGCTGATGGCCGGGGTCTGTGAATAGGGATATTTTCGCGAAAGTTCCGCGAAAGTTATGCGAAAGAGCGGGCGAAAGTCAAAGTGCATGTTGAAGGGGGTGGGCCAGTAAACTTTGCAAACAAATCTGTCCTGAGAAGGGATTCCGTGATGCTAGCTGGATGTTTAAAAGGCTACCAAGAAGTGATCCGTGATTCTCTGGCGTAATTTGGCAGGCGGTGAACGAATCTTCATAAGAGGTGTTGTTGGCCAACATGGGCCCCGCGAAAGATAAACATGGAGTTCGCGAAAGTTTCGCGAAAGTAAAATTTTTATTCGCGAAGAATGGCCGTTCCGGGATAAAGGAATTTTGATCAATAACCATATATATATGATGTATATATACATATATATATATGATATACATATATATATGATATACATATACATATATGTATATATATGATATACATATACATATATATATATATATATGATGTATATATATAATCCAACGGGGAATCCCGTTCTTAAGCAAGCAAGATTAAATGGAATGACAGAGGGATTTGGAACACTGCTCAGTTATATCAACATTGAGAGATGAAATAGCTACCATATTTTAACTGATATAAGAAAATGGGTGGTGAAACATTGGATAGATATTTTGGAATTGACAACTTATCCAATTGAAATGGCAGAATGGGTGATACCCCTGGTATGGAAAGTCAGTTTGCTATGGAAAGTCAGCATGTGTCATAGGGTTCTATCATGTTTTATCATCAAACTACCCATGTGCTACGGCTATGTAAAATCACTGCAGGGCCCCAAAGGTGCACATGAACTAGAAATTTTCATTTTGCTGGTCAATATCCTCATAGGGGATGACATCAACAAAATTGGGTATACAACACAACGGGCATATAATATACATATATATATATATGTATACATATTATGTGTATATATATACACAAAAGTGAATGATTGTGTTTTTTTCTCAGAGGGTATGTGTTTTGCTGTAAATGGGTGAACGTATACGATACCCAGCAAACAGCTAACAGCTAACATATTTTTCTGCCAGGTTTTTTGGAGGCAAATCATATAAGATTGGTCATGCAGCAACTGGCTCATGTTTGGATTCTCCCGTTGACAGATTACTGACGAAGATCACTAGAGTTATGCTTGCCAAGTCGAAGAGATGTATTTTGTTTGACTCCATGGCATCCAGGTTTCATATTTGAATAATCAGTGAAAGCAGTAGATACTGCTGGATGTTTATACTAGTTCACAGCTGGATGCTGTCCATTTCCATACATCTATATATACAACCTGTACATACAACGGATGGCTGGGTTGTAACATTGTATCCACGAGTCGGAACCTCTTGACAGCTGTTATCGCATACGTTTTGTCCCACACTTGTTAGTAGGACAACCGCAGGAATCGGGGACTTTTAAACAACCCAAAAATTATGACCGGATTCCCAGTATTCCTGACCTTGGCTTATTATGGAATATTATGGATATTGCGGCCAGGATTTTGACCGCCTTATCCAAAATTGCCAGCAACATCCCCACAGGGGGGAAACAAGATGAAATCCACTAGATCATAGCTCAGCACGAGCCAGACATAGCCAGATCAAGACATAGCCTCTGGTAAACCAACATAACTATGGAAAATCACCATTTTCAATGGGAAAACTCACTATAAATGGCCAATTTCGATAGTTATTTTGACATAACCAGAGGGTAGCCAGCAAAACAAAGGAGGGAACAAGCCCAAAAAGAGAAAGAAAGAGCGCAAGACACAGGAAGGTGACAATGGTGGTGCGGGCCTTGGCCACAGGAATGCAGCGCTCAATTCTGCCCCAATCACCAATCCTACTAGCACTTCTGCGCAGCTTCCCAATCGCAAACAGGATGCCAACAAGAAACAGCCCACACAAGCATCCAAGTCTTTTGTGGAAGTAGTTCGAACGAACGCACCGTTCAAACCAGTTTGGTGTTTGAGACAGTCGGACTGGACCGGCCAAGTTTTGACTTTTGATTCTTTTTGCAGTGCGTTGGATCAGCCTGGCAATGTGTCAGCAACAGTGCAGTGTGAATCGGAAGAGCAACTGAGTGAGCTCAAAGTTTTGACAGAAGGTGATGCAACAGATCAGACAAGAGAATTGCATGTCTCTGCAGTTTTGTTAGCTCCAAAAGAAGCGAAGCAGATCGACGGCAGACAGTTGAGGCTCATACCTGGCAAAATAGCTGGGAAAGTTCAGCCAAGGCAGGCTTACCTGATAGCCTTGAAAGGAAACGGACCAACACTCAAAAGAGCAGCCGTTGTTTCTGCTGCTCCTGCAGCTCAGACTGAGACGGTGGTTGTGAGGTTGAGCGTTGAAGCAAAGTATTTGTTGAGCAAAGAGTGGCAGAGCATCCAAGCCAAACCAAAGGCTAGCGCTCAGTCATGGTTGCGAAGGCATGTGCCCGCCCACATTGGTGCCAAAGTTTTTGACATGTGGGCTTTCCAAGAGGAGTGCACGAAGGGTGGTGGCAAGCCGGTCATTACTGGGTTGCTGAGGATTGAGAAAGATGCAGCGAAAGGCTTGCTTTCTTGTTCTGGGAAAAGTCTGTGGTTCGTCGAACCTCTCCAATGGAACAACAGTGTGGTGGAGTCATGTGATGTTGAATGGATCAAGAAAGGTCCTGACCTTGATGGCCCCAGCTATCTTCAAAAGGTCCGAAGTTTGGCAGGTGATCTTGGCATTGCAAGAGGGTGGGGCGGCTTAGGCGTCCGAAAGCCCAGAGCATCTGACCCGATTCCAAAGCCAAGAGCATGGCGCATTAGTGGTGTGCCCCGAGAATGGTCAGCCAGCACGGTCACTGAAGCGATCACACGTGCTGGCTTGCAAGATCCAAAGATTTTGTCTCGCAAAACTTTGGGCAAGCAAGTTGAATGGTGGGCACATGCGAATGCTCAAAGAGATCTTGATTTCCTTGAGATCCAGGCCGGCGAACACACCATTGTTGTCGTTGAAGCGCCCAGGCAGAGACCTCAGCGGCCCATTACAAAGAAGTTGTCCAGTTACGGAAAGGTCAATTTCCATTCCAACACTGGGCCTGCAACTGTGCAATCCTCACAGCCACCGCTAAAGTCTTTCTACATTGGCACGCCGCTCAAGGAAAAGAACGCTGCAGCTGCGCCTGCTACAGGCGCCACGCAGCCTGGTGATGTTCAAGCTGATGAAGCTATGAAAGCTGCTTCGGCTGCTGCAGGTGACAAACGCGAACCTTCTTCCCCCGCCAAGCTGCCGGCGGCAAAGCGAGTTGCAGTGGATGTCAAGCCACCTCATGGCTTGATTGCACGAACCATTGCTGCTGATGGCAATTGTTTGTTTGAGTCCATATCACAGGGAATTGGAGGCAAAACTGCAAGATCCGTGAGAGCTGCAGTTGTGAACCATTTAAAGAAGCATGAAGGTCGGTATAAACCATGGTGGGACGAAAGGGAGCCCACGGAACAGGAAGAGAAGTGCGAGTCATGGGAAAAGTACATGGAGATGCTTGCAAAGGTTGGGGCTTGGGGCAGCAGTTTGGAATGTGCTGCAGCTGCCGTGCACTACGACAGACCCATATTAGTTTTTCAGCCTACGGGCGTGCCTGAGGTTTACAACAGCCAAGGGAAAGCAGGTGGCGCCATTGCTCTGTGGTATCGCCGAAAGCATTATGAATTGTTGGATGGCGCATTGCCGCCAGGCATTTTGGAGCAAGCCGCCACTGGCCCTATGCAAGGCAACAGAGGGGGCGGGTCGGAAACTGGCACTCACTCGGCTGGCGCTACTCGTTTGTCAGCGCTGCCATCTGTGGCGGGCGCCAAGAAGCGTTCCAAGCGCGACGCCTCCTTGCCTGGTTCTACTTGCTCAGAGCGGCGCAGGAATCCCTCCCCTGCGACTGCTACTTCAGGTCGGGAGCGGCGTGCTGTGAGCAGCGCTGGTGTCAGCGAAAAGGACGAGGCTGGCAGCACTTCGTCCAAACGCCCAAAAAGGGAGGAATGGAATTGTCCTTTGTGCGATTATTCCACAGGGGTACACAGGCTGTGGCCGCAGAAAAAGCAGGCCCACATCAATGCTTGGCATCCTGATGAGAAGGAGAGGTTGAAGCTCACTCCCGCTATGGGTCAGCTTTGTCACGCCGCCCCTGGTATGAGTTTCAAGTGGAAGTGTCACTTGTGCAACATGGTCATTCCTGAAGATGCCGATCTCAGCAGAGACCAGGTGCTTCGCATGAAACTGAGGCATAGAGAAGAACACCATCCGAAAGCGAATGTGCAGCGTTTCAAAAGCGATGGAAGTTACAGGGCGGCAAATGCAGCCAAAGCTACGATTCAAGTGCGCGCAGCTGGCATGGCAAAACGCCTGTTGGGCCTCAAAAAAGGTGATGCCGGTTCCCACGAACCAGTGTTGGTTACCCTCCCTATGACTGGCAAGGCCAAACAGAAAAGAGGAGGTATGGCAAAGGTTATTTGTCGCAAATGTGGCAAGATGGCGAATCAAGCAAAGGAGCTTGCTACGCTGTCCTGTGAAAAGTATGTGGCCGGCAATGGCCCCAAGAGGAAGAAGATGCTGGCAAGGCTCCGCGCTTGTCTCAACAAAGCGTCCATCAGTGATGCTCTCAAGGATGGTGCCCGTACAGTTTTGAACATTATTGACTCAGGCAAGGGAAGCTCCAAAGACACTGCGCCCAAACACCATATTGAGGCACTTGTCTGGCCGGTAGATTTCACGGTCCGTTTTGCTTGCACGAGATGCAAGCGGTGCATGAAGGACGAGAAACATTTCCGTGGAATGTCTTGCGCCAACAGCACCGTTTGGAACCAAAAGAGAAAAGGCAACAAAGACGCCTTGCTGGAGCTCGCCAACAAAGAACCTGGGGCGAGGCAGAGAGCGGCGCTCCGTGCTTTGGAGATTTTGGGGTTTCAGCAAGAGGAAGGTGATTCTACGGACCAATGACGGGTACGTCTAGCACTTTAAGGTTGGGAACTATGAATGTCCGGTCATTGAGTGGCCGGTTGGGTGGCGTTTTTGAGTTAGCAAAGACTGAGCAGATCGATGTTCTTTGTTTGCAAGAAACTAGAGTCAATGTCGACAGTTGGAGCGCTGTCAAGTCAGCTGCAAACCAGCGAAAGTGGCAAGTTTTTCCTGGCGGCCAAGGGGTAGATGCCAAGAATGTGGTGATTGGCGGGACGTTAGTTTTGTCAAAGTGGCCTGCTGAAGCGTTGGCCATTCCAAGTCAGTTTGCACCGGCTGACCGTGCCATGGCGCTGAAGCTTTTTCGACCTCACCAGCGACCGCTTCTTCTGATCAATGTGTACCTACATGCCAACGATCAAACAGCTGCTGGCCACGCCTTGGCTGCCATTTTTGAATACGTTGCTATGCTGGGCGAAGAAGCAATCATTGTGGGCGATTTCAACAGGGAAAGGCATGTTTGGCCGGCCTCCACCGCGCTGGCGTCGGGGCAATGGTATTCTTGCGATGAACAAGTCTGCGGAGACCAGATTGGCCCTGGCACCCATCGCAACTCAGATGGTGAATACACAGGGGTGGTCATTGACTACGCGCTTTCAACTCCCAGAGTTGTTGTTTCCGGAAGAATGCAGTCTTTAGGTGTTGCTGACCATGATGCAGTCATTTACGATATACATGTGCATGGTAGCTTACCCACGCCTTGGAGATTGCCGGCAAGCGCACCACTCTTGCTTTGCAATGTGGAGGTTGAGAACTGGAATGTTGCTTGGGCAGAATCACAGCAAGATTTCACCGATGCTCTGGCCGTCGGAAATGTGGATCAAGCTTGGGTGGTCCTGAGCAACTGTGCTGAATCTTTGCTGCTTGCACAAGGCAAGCCCAGCAGGGCATCAAGGGACGGCCCGCACAAAATGGCGAGCCCCCCATCAACCAAAGCTCCTACGTTGCAGACTTTGGAGGAGCGAAAGCTGAGAAGATTTGCACGGCGGGTGGTCGAATATCAAAAGGCTCCTTCGCCGCAATTGCAAACCAAGCTGTTGCGCGATGCTCCGCTTTTGCACTCGTCTCTTACTGCGTTTTCTTTATCTGATGGTGGTTTGGCTCCCGCCGCTTTGCTTCTTGCAGATGAGGTGGCCAAAAAGGCGTCTCAGCGACGCCTTGCTGCTTGGAAAGAGGACATTCAAGAAAATGTTGCGAAACTGGGGAAGTGGGTTCAGCAAAAACCACCTGATCCACCTACAGCAACACAGGTCGATGGTCCTATTTTGCCTGAAGATAAGGCAAGACAGGAGGCAGCTGCGTGGCACACGCATTGGAATCCGGACCACCTCCCACATTTAGACCAGGTTTCAAATTTGTGTTTGCAGCTCAACAATCAGGTCGACCCAGTCACGCCTGAAAGCATTCAAGTGGTTGGGGCTGATTTGGCGCGTTCTGCGTTGAAAGCTAAACAAAAAGCGGCTGGTATGGATGCTTGGACTGCGGCTCATTTGTGCAAGTTGCCGGAGTCCTTTTGGAATCACGTTGCAGTCTTGTGGTCGGCGTGCATGCAGTGTGCGAAAGTTCCTACAATGTGGAAAGATATTCGCATAGCCTTGATTCCAAAGGCGGCCGGGGGCCTGCGCCCACTTGCCATCACGACGGTCCTGTGGCGCATCTGCATGAGTGCAACTTTGCAAAAGCTCCGACCATGGATACAAGAATGGGCCTTGCCTCAGCTTTGTGACGGCCGTCCAGGAAGAGGCATTATGGATGTTCATGAAGTGCTCTACGAAGACATTCGTGCTGCCAAACGTTCAAGAGTTGATTTTGTTGGCTGCAAGGCCGATATCCGTAGGTGTTTCGATTCAGTTTGTCCAAAGACTGCACTTGCTATTTGGCGCTGGTTGGGTGCTCCGGCCAGTTTGTGTGACATGGTGGAAAATTTTTACACTGACCAACGCAGGTGGTTTGCCTGGCAAGGCATTTTCCATTCAGAGCCCATTTGTGCTCGGCGGGGGCTGCTGCAGGGCTGCCCGGCAAGCCCAGCCTTACTCAATGCGGTGATGGTAGTCTGGGTGCGCTTCGTTCTTTTGCAAGAGCCTCGTGTTTCTCTTGCAGTTTATTTGGATGACCGCACAATGTGGAAGAAAGGTGTCAACGGCATTCACGTGGTCACCAACGCCATGCAGGCAGGTGCGCAGGTTGATGCAATTCTGGGCATGGAACTCCATCCTGACAAGTTAAATAGTTTCACAACCAAGCAACATTTGACGCCTCAGCTGTCACAGATACAGGACGTGTTGGGGGCTCCTTGCAGCAAGTTCACGCTTCTGGGTATTCAGTACAATTTGGAGCGTGCAGGTGCTTGTGTTAATGCAGAGAAGCTTTCCTTTGACATTCAGGAGAGGTGTCGCAAAATCAGGTTGGCAGCGAAACGTTTGGGCACCCGCAAGACCTTGCTGGGACAGTTGGTGATCTCTTTGTTTGCATGGACATGAGCTTTTCACCACTATGATGTTGATACCATCAAGAGTTGGACCTCCAGTATTGAAGCGGCGGTCTGGGGGCGCAAGCCTGCCCCAGGTCGCAGTAGATTGCTGTTCTGGAACTCTTTGGGCACACCGCGTTTGCATCCTGCTTTTGCGCTTCACTTTGCTGCAGCCCGGGCTGAATGGCAGCGCCAGTGCCGCTTGGCCATAGGTGTGCCCGCCGCTGTTTCGCCAGGCCCAAGGTGGAATACTGTTTGCAAAGACTGGAATTGGCGTGTTGAGGGTGGTTTGTGGATCACTCCCGTGGGGACTTTGAAACCAGGGTGGATGTCTTCTTCAAGCTTATACAAAGCTGCTGCTGCAGCATGGCTGGCTTTTATGTGGACGAAGGACACCAAAACGGAGGGTCCTTTACCTGAAGGTAAGTTGCCTGTGCTCCAATTCCAGGCCAATGTGGCGCATGATTTGAACTATTGTGGTCGCAGAGTCTTGACAGGTGCAGCAGTGGATGGGAGAGTTACTCAACGTTTGGAAGTCGACTTGCAGTGTGATTGTGGTTTGAGCTCTCCTGATCGTGAGCATTTCACTTTCTACTGCGAGGCAAATCCTTGGCATGGTGATCTCAAAACTCCAACTGAAAGGCGGTTGCTTGTTCCTCTTGTGGATGCTCCAGCTGTTCTTCCATTTGAAGATATGACGGCCGACCCCATTCTGGTGGCTTTTCTACAACAGTTTGACCCACATCAAACGCCGACTTTGGGCTTGGATGGAAGTTGCGCAATCGCTCCAGGGTGCGAACTTTGGCAGCGTGCCAGCTGGGCTGTGGCGGCACATCTTGTGCCCACGGTCAATGGGTTGGTGCATGGTTTCGAGCAAACTCCTGCTGCGGGCGAGAGAGGTGCACTTCTTCAAGCCTGCTTGGCTTCCCATGAAGCGAACAGAGCGGTGCGCTTGCTGATTGACAACCAAGCTCTTGTGCAACGTCTTCATCGTGGCATGCGGCTTGGTCAGTGGGGTGGAGATCTTTTTCCATACTGGCATTATATCAGGATGCTTTTGGTTGATGGTTCTTCTTGTGCTTGGATTCCCTCGCATGATAAAGTTCCTCGATGGCGTCCACCCGAAGGGTGGCTTGATGTTTTGCGTTGCCGCATGCTCAATGCCAAAGCGGATGCTAGCGCGGCTGATCTAACAGGTCAATTTCGGCAGGTGATTGCTACTTGTTTGTCACAACACAGAGAGGCAGTTGTTTGGGCTGGAGAAGCTTGGAAGGCGCAACTAAAGGGTTCTCTTCCCTACTGGCAAGTTTTGCTTGAACACGAACCACGTCAAAACAGGTCGTTTGAATGAGCGTTTGCTGCTTCTTCAGCTGCATGGGTGGTACTTTTCTTGGCTTGAACTTGCCCTCCGGTTTGTTCAGTGCAAAGAGCTCCGGCTCTGCGTTGGCAATTTCGGCGTCTTAACTACTTCACTTCGGTGAGGAGCAGGTTGACGTCCTCCTCCAATCCAATCCAATCCAATCCGAGGTCTACGTCAGCCGCGTTTGGTGCGTCTTCGAAGTTTTTACAGCGGTGGCTCGGCCGTCGAGTCACGCCAGCATGGGGCGGAAACGTTTGGAAAGCTTTGGATGTTGATGATAGAGACAGATGCTAATAGTAAGATATGTTATTTGTAAAACTTTGGAATTTAGTTGATAATAGATGACAATATAGTGTTTGACACACAACATCAACAACATATATTTGGGGTTTGGTCAGAAACCAATGGAATTGAACTATTCAGTCCACACGTTTGTTTGGCATGTCATGACGCAAGAAGTAGGCCAGGCCACCTAGGCTCCACCAGGCTTCGGGCCCAGAAATCCTCAGTTTGAGAATACTCCCTCTGATAAACTCGTATGGACCGTTCTATACAATTGATTATAATAGAATTCATATCATGGATTCTTGGGATTTTTGTAGGTTCCCCACAATACATGTAAGGTGCGTGTTGGAACATTGTCATTTTTATTGGGATTGGATGGATTTGGATGGTGTTTCCCAAGCAGACCACCACGAAAAATGAAAAATGGTGAAGCGGGCTAAATCCATCTCAATCCGATTATTATCTTCATATGTTTCACATGTTTGTTGGGGAAAAATCACCATGCCAATATTTTTTCTATGAAATATGTGAAATCATATATGATGATATGCTGATACTATATGTTATATTTCCATCATAATATATGATGATGATATATGATAATGATATATGATAATGATATATGATGGGAATCCTATATGAAATCTTTATTTGTTAGATGGATTTCCATTGCTAAACAGCCCGCCAAAAACTTACACTATTCCATTCCAGCCATGTCACTGAGGTCAATGACGCAGAATGTGAACTCACTGTGATTTTACCGCCCAAGGAGATGGATACTGGGGCTGAGGGCCAAATTAATCCAAATTATCCCAATGGTTGTTCGTTTTTAGAGGGGAAACCAATGATTTTGGGATGTTTTGGGGTACCAAATGTTGAAACGCCTTTGTTGCGTTTTCTGTTTGTGGCTTCGGAATAGAGACAGTGGATTCAAATCCCAAGCTTTGCTGGTTTAGATAAAGTTTAAATCATTTAAATCCTACATTGCTATTTCAAGTTTGCTGGCGAATCTAGATGCTCGGTTTTGATTGGTTGAACGCTCAATCTCCCCAAGTCTTCTTTCCATGACCCAAGCATTGTTTGGAAGATCCGCTGTCAATAAGGATCGCTTCTGTTTGAGTATTTCCCGGGGAGCGCTGCACGGCACCGTTTTTTTGAGCGGTCAGTTCATCCGTGGGCAGAGGATGACTATGGGTGCATCCGCAAGATTTGTCATGGAATCCACCCAAAATCTCCCAAAATCTCCCAAAAATGGTACCCTCTGGTAATTTAACATAACTATGGAAAATCACCATTTATAGTGAGTTTTCCCATGGAAAAATTGTGATTTTCCATAGTTATGTTAAATTACCAGAGGGTAATATTCACCGACCCCAAATATCGCAAAATATGTGACCTGGAAAATCGTTCTACAGATTTGGGATGGCGGTTGCGGCTGCGGTGAACCGCTCGTCCAATTTGGGATGGCGGTTGCGGTTGACAGGCAATGCAGCAAACATGTATCATATTACATCGATTCAAATTGTTTATTGGAGCCACTAAGAATGGATGATTCCAGTTTTGGATCATTTTTTTGGTTCCAATAAAAGGCACAACACAACTTTTCTGGTCGGTGGTTTGGAACATGAAATTTATGACCTTCTATATATTGGGAATTTCATGATCCCAACTGACTTTCATATTTTTCAGAGGGGTAGGTATACCACCAACCAGATATTACATCGATTCAAATTGTTTATTGTTTCCTGATCTTGTAGAGGTGAGATATCTTACAAGATTATCCATTCTATGTTTCTCGTGGCGGGTCGGTACACCCATTCTTAGGTGAAACATGGCGAGCGGCAGTTCAGCCCCAAAAAATGCCCAGTCAGGATCAACGCCATTTCGGTGGTGATTTTGTTCAGTTTGATGCCCTTTTTGTTTTTTTTTGTTGGGCAGGATTGTTGATACCCTGGTAAACGTTTACATAACTATGGAAAATAACAATTTTTCATGGAAAAACTCACTATTTCAATGGCCATGGCTTCAATAGCTATGTGAATGTTTACCAGAGGGTATCCATCCAGTGAGGATGATCGAGGCAATTTCTCGATCCCATCCTTGGTGACTTCTTTTACCGATACCGGAAGGTTTTTATTTCTTGGGTCATAGATGGTGCTATCAGCTAGATCCAGATAATGGGTATATGGGGAAGCCAAGGGTCAAATACCATCAAATATCCATATAGATACCCTGGATTATTTTTGATCTCCTCACTGCGCTGAGCATTTGAGGTTAGATCGAGGCTCTTCTGCAAGTTCTGCTCAGTTTTCAGCGGCAAATCTGTGTGACTTTTGCTGGTTTCAAGAAATCAGAGCAGATTGTAAGAATCCATCCCAAGCCAATATTCAATAAACTGTGGGAAGTAAGCTCAGATTCGTGCCAGAGACGCATGGTGCAGGTAAGATTCCATTCGTTATCTCGTCTCTTAAGATCTCTAGATCTAAGATTCTGGTAGAGGGATCATGCTCATTCCTGATAGAGTGAACATTCAGTGAACATAGTGAACTTGAATTGTCCAATGAGTCATGACTCCTCTTGAAAGCTCAAGCTGACTTGTCATGACTTCACAAAGAAAATACCTGGCCATTGTTGTTTAAAATGACCCCCATCCGGGATGACGAGCCCATCGTGAGGATACTTGTGGTCGTCTCTGGAGCAACTTGATGTTCAAACTGCCGAAGCCTCCGTGGCTGCAGACAAGGACAATATTCTGCGCATCGTCGCACAGGGCGTGGCTTGTCGCACATATAAGTGAGTGGACTCAAAACAAAAGTGACACTGGGATATACCCTCTGGTAAACTAACATAGCTATGGAAAATCACCATTTTTAATGGGAAAACTCACTATAAATGGCCATTTTCAATAGCTATGTTAGTTTACCAGAGGGTACCTGATATACCTGATCTAAAAGTCATCACTGCAGAATCGACAGCACTGTCGGGATATTCCATACTTCACAAGCTACATCCACTGATTGGGATGCGGGATTGTGCCTCTTGCTGATTACAGGTTGACTTTACCCAATTCGTACTGCGTGTGTTGAAACATTCGGCACACCAAGACGGTCGGTTTGGTACATCTTTGTTCCCCGAAACCAGTGCTGCAATAAACCCAGAAACCCTTGTGGTACAGGATCTATTGATCATATTTGGATCCCATACGGGGGCATGAGATTTGATATGAAAATGCAGTGGTTGAGACAGAGAACCTGTACGTACACACCCAGGCAGACCGGACTGCGAATTGCTGATGATTTCCTAGGGTGTTCGATGGTTTTCCTCCACTTTGATCAACGGGCATCTGGATATGAGCCAAAATTGAAGGTTGGGGTTCCTCCTCGCCTGAGAAAGTGGATCGCTTTCCTGTCATTGACAGACATCTCTAGACTCAAGATTGGATAGATTGGTGTGTTAATCTAGAGTCTATCCACATGTTAATCCAATTCTTCTCTAGTCTTCTCTAGACTGATTATCAAAATATCAAACATGGCTACAGATGTTAATCTATAGACTCTACCCTCTGGTTATTTAACATCGCCATGGAACATTTATAGATGGTTTACCTATTAAAAATGGTGATTTTCCATGGCTATGTTAAATAACCAGATGTTAATCTATAGATTCTACCCTCTGGTAATTTAACGTAGCTATGGAAAATCACCATTTTCAATGGGAAAATCCACTATAAATGGTCATTTTCAATAGCTACGTTAAATTGCTAGAGGGTAGTTTGAACTTCAACATGTTCCACGGCAAATTAGGTTGGCTTCGACTATCTGAATCAGGCTGGGACCGATGGAACAGTGATCAAATCATCGGTGGAACGACCCGGCGTCACTGGACATGATGGCTATGATTAGGATTGATGGATTGATGGATATTAATTCTAATATCAATTCAATAGATGATAATGGATACTAGTAACCAGATGGATTCTAGTAACCAGATTGATTGATTGATGATTAATGGAAATTAATGGATATTAATGGCAAATAGTTGTGATCATAATCCATCCATCTGGTTACTATGATTTGGATTTATGATGATCCATAGTTGTGACATAATCCATCCCAAAATGGCATCATGATTTTCAGATAGATGGATTATGTCACAACTCACCAAGGTAAGATACATCAAGACCTCATGTTTCCATAGATTCCCTGAAATGGCCGGTAGAATGAGATGGTTTTCCAAGCTGTCCATACCACCGATACCATCCGGCAATCAAACATGGCTTGCTGGAATATCCCAATAACATTATCTAACATTCTATAACATACTATAACATAATATGACATACTATACATAACATACTATACATAACATACTATATATATATATAACATACTATATATAACATACTATAACATACGACAACTAATTAAATGCATAGATCATCAATCATAAATCCAATAACATCCAAAACACTATAGAATCTATTATTACATCTCCATTTCATTACTTTAAAGGGTTTCACAGGTGGTTCGCCAGCAGCTGCTGCGCTGGCTGGCCGAGAGCGCCTGGCGCGAAGCGTTGCAGCAGTTCAGCACGGGGGATTTGTTCGGCGACACGGCCGCGGAGATCGGCGCGCAGCCGCTGAGCTCGTGCGTTGGGCGTTGGGAATTTTTGGGTTCCATGGGGTGATGCCGAAGGTTTGGATCCGAAGGTTTACCCTCTGGTCATGTCAAAATAGCTATGGAAAATGGCCATAGAAATAGTGAGTTTTCTACACCAACGGCATCTTTTTCGCCACATCCGGGGCCTTCTCTTGCAACTCCATGCCAAGCAAGTCCGACCCATGAAAAATGGTAATTTTCCATAGTTATGTAAACGTTTACCAGAGGGTAGTTTTATGCAGTTTCCAAATGAAGTTTACATACGTTTTAGTAAATACTAATGATTAAGACATAGAAAACACATGTATTCTATGATTCATGTATGGAATATTTAATACTGTATTATTTTTGATCCAAGACATGATCCAGTTTTGGAGGTAAATATGGCATACATGGAGGACAAGTGGGATAAGTATTTGTTTCATTTAATTGTTAATAAGCCTTGAATGGTACATAGCATGATGGGTTTGGCTGTGGCTTCAGTTTATCACATAGTATCTACAGCAATTTATTGAACTAAGAGAAGCTTTTTGTGTTAATTATGACTTATAGAATTGGGCTTCAGAAATGTATGTTTGTTCGTGTTTGTTTCGGTGCGGTGTTCTCACCCTATGGAACTGAATTTGGATTGCGAAATGGGGATCCAGACACACACCCGAAAGGTTACCTCCCTTCAGAACTTAACCGGCAACCATTGAACTGACATAATTTAATGGTATCCAGCCCATAGCAACCCTTGTATAAGAAGACCTGGAGTTTGGTCATTATATCCTGGTTGGTGGTGACTGGAACATGAATGGATTATGACTTTCCATATATTGGGAGTGTCATCATCCCATTTGACGAAGTCATATTTTTCAGAGGGGTAGGTATACCACCAACCAGTATCATATTATATTCATTCTTAAAGAAAGGCTGCTCAGCCAGGTTAGAATCAATATGACACGAAGGAGATAACTCTTGGGTCACCCGAGGGGCTTTGGTTGATGTCGGTCGAATCCCTAGATGAGCAACGGTTTTTTTCCAGATGATGGAGCTTAGATTGAGGAGGAACTCATATCATCTGATGGCCAATATATGGTCGCAAATCAAATAGTACTGGCCGGGGAAAGTCAAGGTCTGACCCCCAAAGAAACGGGAAGCCAAAGCAGTTTTTTGTTGGTGAGCGGGTCACTGTATGTGATTTTCATGCGTTTTTAACGGCTGTTTGGGGTAGATTACCAACAGGTGTTTTTGAAGTATAGGCTGATGATTGATATTTGATTGATATGCGATGGTGATATACAGTCAGATAATGATAAGCCTGACATGTATACAATGGTGGAGGAATTGTCAAGTGGATTGTGCTCTCCAGTGCAAATGCTCAGAACCTTCCGATTTGGAAATGATGAACATCAGCGTTGACAAGCCAGTATTTGCTTGTCTTTCCTTTACATCCTCACTTCTACCACCATAGTTGATATGCAATGTTAATATGTTAGCTATTTCCGTATATATATATAATTATAATATATATATATAGAGAGTCGTTTGATTTGCGGCTCCAAATCACAACAGGGATTTGCATCTTCCGGGTGGCGCGCGCCAGCGCGCAAAAGCGTTAGACAGTCCAAGGATTTCAGGCTTTCTTCATAGACTCGGTCACTACGAGAAAGCTCACCAGCTGCTGACAGAAGCTACTTGGCTGCCCAAAAAAGGCCGATGCTGGACAAGTCTGGAGTTTCACCTCATGAATAGCCGTAAGCTGTTGTAAACTGTTGTAAATTCATGTAAATATTGTAAATCCCATTTTTTTATCAGGTTCAGTGGGGAGATCGTTCGCGCTGCATGGACACGGTGCCATTTTTTGTGAACCAGCCATGTGTATGGTATCTGGTCCTGTGGTTCCGTGGCAAATTAAGCAGAATAAGCAGGTTTGTAAGTATAGTGACACTATACAAGGGTTTCCTGAAATGTGGGTACCTTCAAATCATCTAAATTTGAATGGTTTTTTCCATTATAACCAACCATATTGGGATCCCCCATTTATGGGAACACCCTAATATAGACACCTTAAAAGCATGGATCTCTGCTCCGTGTGGATCTTAGGGAGGGACACTTAAAAGGTCCGTTTTTGCATACCACAGTTGCAGGGCTTGTGGTTTCATCCGGTTTTTGATTGTTTTTGTAGGTGTTATATCCCCTACAAAGGTGAGTTTACCATATTTAATAGTTCTATTCATTGTAGCCCCTGGCCCGTGGCTGTGTCCGGCATTGAGGCTCGGGCTGCTGCTGCTTCGGAGTCCGAAGAGAAGGCGAACCTCTTGCGAAGCCTGGCCGAGTGTGGTGATTTCCAGGAACATCCTTCGGGGATTCCCTCTATGGGACGACCTAAGTGGAGAACAACCATAGAACGTTCTGGCTGTGCTGGCTGAAAAGACCCTTTGCAATTCATGGGGTTACTGAGACCGACTTTTTTGCAGTGATTTAGTTGAGATAGAGACCATACTGTCACAAGATGTGATAAGATATGTGATGATATTTATATGTTGAACATTCTCTTGGGGCTGGATGGTAAGTTTGGCCGTGATTTTGCCGAAGCTGAGATATGGTGTCTTGAACGGACATCATTTTTATCGCTGGGTTGAGCAAAACAGTGCATTTCCATCCATTCTGGGATCCTCCATTTACAGACTTTCAAAACACTGTAAGTCTAATGTAGGTAAACAAGGACTGAGTTTGAATGAGTTTGAGGCTTCGCTGTTCACTCCGAAAAAACATGCGGTTTCTTCAACAACTATTGCTTGCAGTTGATGGCTAAGCGGCTAAATATTCACCCCTTCCATACTCAGGTTCTTCAATTTATAGGATGGTTCGGGGTGATACAGTTCCTTTAGAAAAAAAGTATTATACCCTTAGACTTCCGCATTGGTGAAGGACTCACCAGTCAGGATTTCATCAACTTAGATTTGTTTTTTCAGATCCAACAGGCTTTGTCTGATTTGTTTGATTTTTTGGGGAACACCCCATTCCATCCATTGGTGAATCAGTATGTTCCCAGTAAAAATCACCATCACTGGGATCATTTTGCTTTCTTTGAAAATAGATAGATGATTTCTTAGTACCCCCCAAATCCAGTGGTTGATAGGCATAGTCCATCATAGTCCCCATTCACAGTAGCTATGTGGGTCTTTTTTCCCCATGGCTTTGCCACGCCCATCCTTTTGCACCTCCCAGGAGTGGTGGGTCAAAACCTGGAATATCTCCACAGAGGAGAGGAGGCTGCGGAGGTGTACGCGGAGGCGCGCGGGCGGTGTCATGGAGGAAGTCCTAAGTGAAACAGCTCTGTTTTCCGTGGGAAAATCTGATCAAATCAGATCAAATCAGCTACAAAATATTACTGGTTGGTGGTTTGGAACATTTTTTATTTTCCATAATATATGGGATAATCCTTCCCATTGACTAATATGTTTCAAGATGGTTAAGACCACCAACCAGATTATAACATGCTATAAATGGAGGTGAATGGCTCTCAACGGGAGATTTCTGAGCTGGTTGATATCGCTTGATCGTGGCCAATTCTTTTTCCGCTGTGACTTCGGCTGTGACTTGCCATGGCTGGGTTGAGAGTTGAGACCCCGAACCGCCGACGCCGAGGCGTGTAGCGTGCTGGAACGACTGGGAAAACTGGAGTCGCATGTTGCCTGGCCGTCGTTGGAACAATATGTTGTGTCGGAAGTCAGCAGCCGCTGAAAAAGAACAATCAGAAAACTTTTTTTTTAGGAGGGCAAACAAAAAACTTGAATGTGCATCACAGTTGGTAAGTGGGTCATAAACCATGCTCTATATATATATATAATATTATCCCAATAGATGTTCAGGGTGATTCTCCAGTTACCAGATGAATTTCCTCAACAGAATGAGAAACCATGATGTTTACTGCACAAACATAGGAAAAATACGGAAAAATCCTGCATTCAACAAACATCAACAAAGCAATTCTTGGAAAGCTGGGTTCTTTGTTGGTTCTGGTAGGTTCCATATTATATGGGGCTTGTTTGAAACATATGGAATTACATATAAATATATACATGTACATATATATATATATATGAGTGTACAATCATGGGATAATGGTACTCAATTGATTAGTGCTTATATCACCAACCATTTTGTTCATGCATGCCGATGATGTCGCTATTATGTCCCAAAAAATGGTGGTTCAACACATGTTGTTGATTTAAGCCACCGACAATGGTTGAACCATGTTAAATCCCTCCTTGGTCATGGTTCTATGCGGCAACACTAAGTGGAGTCAAGATCTTCCCAGGTAGTTTTTCGTTCAGTTCTCATTTCTGTTTGATATCCTCTCTCCATGCTTTGAGTACATCATGTCTCCAATTACAGTCCATACAGTATGTAGTATCCCACGTTTGCTTCGCACATGTCCGTTTATCAATCTTTATGGGACGTAATAATCTGATGTGGGGGGCCCCCTTAAAATGGTAACCCAAAAAGATTGGATCCTCGATACTAAAATGGTCCAAATTGGGTGATTCTTGGATCAAAATGGCTTCCGATACCCTCATATTAGACAAGTAACGGTCAAAACCCCGATTCCCTCTTGTTCACCCCCAAATAGCTGATACATGATGATAAATTTATGTTCATTCCCCAGAAAAACTGCTGTATGTAGTAGCTTTTTGTCCATATCATCCCATATCCCAATACACTGACAGTTCCAGCTATAAGATCTATAAGTGGATATAAAATGGTATGTATATAATATATCTACATATATAATATACATATATAATATACATATATAATATACATATATAATATACATATATAATATACATATATAATATACATATATAATATACATATATAATATACAAATATAATATACATATATAATATACATATATAATATACATATATAATATACATATATAATATACATATATAATATACATATATAATATACATATATAATATACATATATAATATACATATATAATATACATATATAATATACATATATAGTATACATATACTATACATATATATTATATATAATATATATATGTAAAATATACATATTTAATATACATATATAATATACATATAATATACATATAGTGATAATATGGCGCATAGGTAAAAGCTATGTAGGTAGGGGATTAAGAGGGGTGTAAATAAAATTATCTCGTATTATACTGGTATATTATATATAATATATATATGTAAAATATACATATATAATATACATATCTAATATACATATATATTATATATATAAGATATATATATATATATGTATAATATACATATATAATATACATACAATATACATATATATATTATATTTATATATCTATTTATTTTATATATATATGTAAAATATACATATTTAATATACATATATAATATACATATAATATACATATATATATTATATATATTTAATATATATTCAATATATATATATATAATATACATATTGAATATACATATCTAATATACATATTTAATATACATATATAATATACATATATAATATACATATAATATATTATATAATATACATATATAATATACACCTGGAATGTAAACGACACTTGTTTTGAACGTGTTGACTTCAGCGTTGACCCATAAAACCTGAGGCTTAACGATCCAATTTGGAGGGATCATTTGGGTTTCAGGTATACATATATATATATACATACATACATATGCAGCTGATGGAAGCATTATTGGCCATTGTTATAGGTTTTACAGTTGGTAATATAATAAGCCATAACAATTATAGCAATGGCTGATAATGATATATATATATTATATTTTATATATATATATATTATAGCCATAAGAATTACAGCAATGGCTTTATAACAATTGTTCTGACATTATTAGCCATTGTTAATATGTCATCGTTAAAGCTTGTCACGACGTCTCCCCAATCTGATGGCCTGCAGGATGGTGCAGCCATTCTCACCTCTTGGGCATTGCTGGAGCAAGACGTCCCTTGGGGATATCAAAACTGGATGCCGACCCCGTTGTGTACCTGGGGATTTCACGCTGTTTTTGCACGGATTGTCAATGGGGATAAGTATGTATATATATATATATGTATATATATATGTATATATATACACATATATATATAATTATTGTGAATGAACAAATGATCCCAGTCATGTTCTTGCTTTCTTGTCACATGTGCATAGCCTTCCATGCATGTTCCGGAAGCTTGTGTGGAATGATGGTCCAGGTTGTGTGACCTGATTTCTCTTTCACTTACTTACAGCATGAGGGTTCACCTGAAGACGTGGAAATCCTCAGCCGCTTTGGCTGACTGGCAGCTCGTGGTGGGAGGGCTGAGGAAGCGCTTGAAGCCATAGGATTGAGGCCAATCCTTTCTGGTTTGCTGAGGACAGCATTTATCGGTGGCATCAGTGCCTTTGGTCTTTCTGCTTGGAAGCCTGACAACATTTACCATCTTGGCTGCTTGTGAAAACGTTTGCGAGTGCGCTGGAGCTGGTGAAGGGGATTTTCTACCAGTGTGGAGCGATTCACACTGGTAGCGGAGCTACCAATAAAGCTCCAGGGGACCTTTGATAACATCTGGTTTTCTCTGAATGTCCGAAGAAACTGCAACAGCAGCTTCAACCGATGGAAACACTGCAACATCGAACCACATGGCCACACTGATGCCGACTTTCGATCCATCAAAGGATGACTTAGAACAGTACACACAAAAGGTAGAATTACTGAGTGAGATATGGCCTGCAACAAAGATCAATGAGTTGATCACCCTTCTCATTCTGAATACGAATGGAACTGCCTTTCAGAAACTTCAGTTGAACAAGTCTCAGCTGATGACAAATGACAAGAAGGGAGTGCAACAACTGGTCCAGCTCCTTGGCGGCCAGTGGGGAAAAGTCAATTTGGAGAAAAAGTACGACATCGTGGAAAGAGCACTTTTCCGTTGCCTTCAGAAACAAGATGAATCCAACGATTCTTTCCTAGCACGTTGTGACGTTGTTTGGTCTGAACTTTTAGCCAAGAAGGCGCAGTTGGAAGAAATCCAATCGTACATAGTCCTCAGAGGGTCTCGGTTGAGCACAGATGACAAGAAACGTGTCATTGTCGAGAGTGAATCATCGTCAAGTGGAGCTTTGAACATGGAGAAGGTCACACAATCTGTTCGCATGCTTGGTACTTCGTTTTTCAATGAGATGATTGGTCAAAAGGCCTCCAAGGGTAAGATTTATGAATCCCAAGTGATGCTAGCTGAAGATCAAGATGACTTTCCACATGATGGGTCTGCATACGTAGCTGATGAATATACCGAGGATGAGTTTGTAAGTCAGTTACTGCAAGATGATGATGAAGATGCAGCTTTGATTGCTGACTATGAATCGATGGCCGCAGATGTGCTGCAGGGAGACAGCGACCTTGCTGCCACATACAACGCATACGCAGATGCCCGGAGAAGACTCTCCGACCGTTTCAAGCACAGAGGATTTTGGCCAGTAGGTCAAGGCAAAGGTTCAGGCAAATCGTCCGCACCAAAGGGCAAAGGGAAGTATTTCAACAAGGGTTCCAAGAAAAGTCTTCAACAGAGGATCCTTGAAAGCCATTGTAGATTGTGTGGTAAGAAGGGTCATTGGCGTGCGGAGTGTCCCGACCGGACACGTTCGAATGCATCAACTGGTTCCACGAATACGTCAGCAGCCATGACCGTTTCAGCAGTGTCCCAGTCCATGGAAGAGTCCAATGCGCTTCCTATGGAGTTCATGCAGCTTCCGATGGTGCATGAGGAAACCCTAGATGTTCCTAGTTTGCAAGAAATTCATGTTGTTAGGCTCCGTAAGTTGGGTAAACGGGGTAAAGGGGAAAATAATCAAAACCCGAATGAAAGCCTGCCCAGGAATGAACAAATCATAGAGCAACCTGAGAGCCGTTTTGTGGCATCCGTGAGAGAGCAGCCGGCAGTAGCGTATTTTTCCACGTATGGCACTTGTGGCATACTTGACACAGGTGCGTCGAAGTCAGTGATTGGTAGCAAACTGCTACCAGCCTTACTTGAGAGCCTTCCAGTTGAGATGAGACAGCAGGTGTTCAGGACATCATGTGACATAACCTTCAGATTTGGAAATCAAGGTACCTTGGATAGTCAACATGCCTTAGTTATCCCTTTAAAATCTGTAGGTCTGGGTCTCAAGATTGCAATCGTGCCTGGTGAAACACCGCTGCTGCTGTCCAACACACTCCTGAGGACTCTCAAAGCCAGTTTGAACAGCGAGCATCACACATTGTCCAGTCCTTTGTTGAACCAGGTTGTCAAACTTAAGCTGAGTCCCAGAGGACTTTACATGCTTGATTTGATAGATTTGCTTCGTGCCCAGAAGGATTTGCGAGGACCTCGTGATGCAACCATGGCCGAGACTTTCATGAGCAGCGATTTTTCCAGCGAAAACCAGCAAGCTGAAATTTGTCAGCCAAGCCTCAGTGAAAGTCAAGAGAACAGTTTGAAGTCACTTTCAACACCAACAGGCCCAGGTACACAGGTACATGTTCACATGACCAGCCGAAGCCAGGGCAGTGAGTGTAGTCTCGAATGTACAGAGATCTCCCGGCCCAAGCCACCATCAACCGAGTTTCTCCACCTTGTTGCAAAGGTAAGTAACTGTGATAGCCATGAGCCTGTCCAGCCGCTTAGAGCGAGTGATGAACCGAACTCCCGCCGAGAACATCGAGGAGTTCCGACAGCTGGACTTGGAAACCATGAGCCAACATCGTATCACCTTTGGTCGCACTCACGTCGGGAAAACCTTTGCAGAGATGTGGGATCAGGAAAAGTCATGGATGAAATGGTTCGCCAAGACTTACGCCAGCAGCGCCAAGCCCGAACATCTGAAAGTACTGGCATATCGGGAAAAGGTGTTGGATCAGTACGAGGAGAGCCATGGCATGGTGCCTCTGAAGAATCCCGAAGATCTGCAAGGGGTGGTGTTGCCCCGATCCAAGTGCATGCCGAAGAGCAAGGCCATGCCAGCACATCAAGTGCCGGTGGAGGTGATCGAAGAGATTGCGGATCCAAACGATCCGTGGGATGTCATGGACTACACAGCACTGCAACAGGACCAGACCAACGAGATGATCGAGGCACTCCAAGCTCGTGTACTGAACATGGAAGGTGCCATCAGCGAGATCTTAGGACATCTCCGTCAGGAGAAGTGAATCATGCTCTCCGGATGTTATGCCAGGCTGGTGACATTGATGCAGAGTTTGAAACTAACCCAACTGCCGAAGCTCATTTCAGTACCAACACACCAAATCACTTACACTACAAATTCCATAAACTGGTTCAACAGTTCACCAGCGAATTGAAATCCTTTTCACAATCATGTTCCCAGAAAGGCACGACAATTCAAGTCTTGGAAGTCTTTTGTGGACCTCAGAGTGAGCTCACCAAGCAAGTCAATAACTTGGGGTATAAAGGGGTTAGGCATGGTTTTCAAGAGGGCGACCTTGCAACTGAAGCCGGCCGAGCCGTTCTTTTTACCAAGTTAATTGAGGGGCAACCTCGAAGTCTATGGTATAGCCCTACATGTAGTCCTTGGTGTGCCTGGAGCGCAATGAATGCCGCACAGACTGAGGCAGGGTTCAAGACAATCCAAGCTCTCCGAGAGCAACATATGTACCAACTGGCATTGGGCATCGTGCTTTTCCGTTTCCAGAGACAGAATGGCAGACACATGCACTGGGAGCAACCTGCTCGTTCACTCATGACCAGGTCTCCAATGTTGCGTGAAGTAATGGAAAACACATACCTTGCCCAATTCGACATGTGCAAAGTAGGATGCATGCGTGACCCTGTTAACCAACTGTTGTACAAAAAGGGGATGGAAATCCTTACCACGTCCTATCAATTATACAACCAACTTCACGGTCGGAAATGCAATTACCTTCATCAACACCAAACACTTGAGGGAGAAACAATGTTCAAAGGTCACCGCATGAGAAGAACCGAACTTTCTGAGAATTACACCCGAAAGTTTGCCCGAACGTTGGCCCAAGTGCTTACCAAAGTCAAGATGATTAAGGAAGCACCACTGCATGTTGCCGAGCATGAACCGTCGTTTGCAAGCTCAGGAGCCAAGAGAAGCTCCATTTCTGCCGGTGTCCCAAGTGCCAAACGGGCAAAACTGAAAGAGGGTAGCATCAAAAGTGTCTTGATCAACCCAGAGATGTTGCCGTCCAAACGTAGGAGACTTTCTGGAAAGACCCAAAGTGATGATACCCCAAAATTGTTGTGTGAACAAGTTTGCAACAGGGTACTTGAGATCATGCCGAAGGTTGGACGCAAGGAGATCAATGACCCTCAAGTAAAATCCATGTTGCAGGAAGTTTTTGGGGATAAACAAGTTCAAAGAATAATTGCATGTAAGGGGACTGAAAGAACGTTAGTACCACCAAAAGACCTCATGCGAGGAGAAGCCCCATACCGCCGTGCGGTAATCATGCAGAGAAACACCCGAAATGTATTGGTTGAAGATCAATGGGAGGAATGGGAAGACTTGTCATTTAGGCAGCAGTGGAGGAGATCGCATCCAAGCTACCTAAATATAACAGTTTTTGCCTGCAATCCCAATGTTGAAGTAGCAAGCTCTGCCAAGCCAGTAATTCAGGAAGTGGAACCAGCTGGACCTAGCCAATCTGCGACCTTGGATGGGTCATCCGTAGATGCTGCAATGCCTGAACCAATGCATCCGATGCCAAGTCCAGCCAGATCAGAATCCCAGGAAACAGCATCCGAGAGTTGCGAGCCAAGCCAAGTCGATCTGAACAGTTCCAACCATGGTCCACGGTTCTTAGCCATGTCACCCGAAAATAAGAAGATAGCACTAAGGCTACATAAGAACTTAGGCCACCCTGACCCCAAAAAATTAAGTCAGGTACTTAAACAGAGGGGTTACAGCACTGAACTGTCTCAGGGAGTTCTGGATCTGAAGTGTTCCGTGTGTCAGATGACACAAAAGCCCAAACTGCAGCGACCAGCGACCCTGAAGGAAGCCTTAGAATTTGGAGACAAGATATCTTTAGATGGAGTGAAGTGGACCAACAAAGATGGTCGAGAATACCATTTTTACCATTTCATAGACCATGGCACCAACTATCATTCTGCTGTTGTTGCTCCGAATCGTGCGGAGATTCAGGACCGCTTCACTCAAGGATGGCTTAGTTGTGCTGGTACTCCAAATGAAGTGATTCTAGACTCAGCGACAGAGTTTGTCTCCAAATCGTTTGAAAGCTTTCTGCAAGGCCTGGGGATCAAAGTCACAGTTGTTCCTCCAAATGCACACTGGCAGATGGGGCGTGTAGAGAGGCATGGAGGAGTACTCCAAAACATGTTGAGTAAGTACGAACTAGAACATGAAATCACCAATTACTCACAGTTGCAGCAAGCATTAGCACAGTGCACCACCGCAAAAAATACATGCGGACTCCGACAGGGATATTCCCCAGAAATGCTAGTGTTTGGAAAAAGCGCCAGAATCCCCGGTTCACTGACTGGCGATGATGAACTACCCACACATGCCAAAGCATGTGAGGAGACATCCGAAGGCTTACGATTCCGCGAGATGTTAGCTCGCAGAGAAACAGCTCGCCGAGCTTTTCACTCAGCTGATAATGACATGTCTCTTCGCAGAGCAGCTTTGCGTCGTGAGAGACCGCATAGGGGTTCGTATGAAGCTGGAGAGTGGGTCATGGTATGGAGAGTAGTTTCCAACCAAGGATCCTGGTATGGCCCTGCAAAAGTCATCCAACAGGATGGTTCCAATGCAGTGTTTTGCAACAACATGGGATCCGTTCTCAAGGCAGCACCCGAGCATGTCAGACCTGTCAGCGCCGTAGAAGCTCGCCTGATCCCCCTGGATCAAGTTGCCAGTGACAACGGGCAGAGAAGTGAACACCGTGACATCCAAACACTGGACAGAAATGCCACTGAACCAACCATCCCTGAAAGCAATAACTTCAATAATAATCCCACCACAAACAATAACCAGATAACCCATAATCCCAATGAAATAGTCCCTAACGATACCAATAACCTACCTCAAAGAACCCCAAGCCAGAGCTCAGCAGATCAACCTGACCAAGAACCTGAAAATACCGAAACACCAAGAGAGACTGAAAACGACGCCACCATCCCAGAGCTAGACACTAGACAACCCCATGAAATCCCAATCCCTGATGATAATGCCGATGAGCTAGTCTGTGACCTCCTAACATGCCATGATGTGGAAACAGAAATCGGACCAGATGGACAAGACCTTTTCTGGCGAACTGAACTAGAAATCAGTCCCGAACAACTGGCAAATGCCATGCAAAGCCAAAATCAAAATCAAGAAGAAGCTTTCCTTTTCCTTGCGACCACTGCAAAAAGACAGAGAACAGAAGTCAAACTGAGCACCCTAGATCCTGCTGAACGACAGGAGTTTGAAAATGCGAAAAATAAGGAAGTGAACAACTGGCTACAGACAGGAACAGTAGCAAGAATTTTTCGTCATCAAATTTCTCCAAAACAGATTCTCAGGTGTCGATGGTTGTATGTTTGGAAACCTCTAGAAGACCCCAAGGAAATTAGAGAAAACAATGGAAAGTCAAGAAAGGCAAAAGCGAGGTTGGTAGTTTTGGGATACATGGACCCACAACTAGAAACTATCCCCAGAGATAGCCCTACACTAGGACGAACCTCAAAGATGTTGATTGCACAGGTCATTGCATCTATGCAATGGACCCTCATGTCATTCGACGTTAAAGCAGCGTTTCTACAAGGCAAAACACAGGAAGACAGACTGATAGCTGTTGAACCCGTCCCTGAAATGGTGAAAGCAATGAACCTCAAACCAAGTGAAGTTTGTAGATTAGTGAAATCAGCGTATGGTTTGATTGATGCTCCATTTTTGTGGTATACAGAACTGGACCAGCAATTGAGATCCCTGAATTTCATACCATCCCCATTTGATCCTTGCTTATACCTACTATATGAAGAAGGAAAAGATGAGCCAGCAGGTATCTTGGGGGTACACGTGGATGACGGCCTTTGCGGAGGAAACCAATACTTTCACGAAATGATCAAAAGGCTTGAGGCCAAATTTCCGTTCGGGTCGCGTAAAACGCAGTCATTTGTCTTTACGGGAATAGAAATGCACCAACAAAACGACCACTCAATTGTCATGTCTCAAGAAAAATACGTTTCCAAAATCAATCCAATTCACATTCAACCACAACGGAAAGTACAAGAAAACCTTCCAGTCACAGAGAGAGAGAGAGAGACAGGACTTAAGGGCACTGATAGGATCACTCCAGTATGCATCCGTGAACACGAGACCAGACCTGTCAAGCCGCTTAAGTTTTCTGCAAAGCGAAGTGAACAAAGCGACCGTGGAGACTCTCATCCAGGGAAACAGAATTCTTCATGAAGCCAAGAAATACAAGGACACACATGTCAGGATTCAACCAATTCCCATGGACCAGATACGGTTTCTTGCTTTCTCTGACGCCTCATTCGCTTCCAAGAAACAACCAGAGTCACATACAGGAACAATTATCATGACCACCCATGCGGACATAGGAAAGAACCATGTATGTCCAGTAAATCCAATCAGTTGGGGCTGTAAGAAAATTCAAAGAGTTGTCACCAGCACGCTGTCAGCAGAGACCACATCCTTGAGCACAACCTTGGACCAGCTGTCATGGTTGAGACTTTTTTGGAGTTGGACACGGAATCCCAAGACAGATTGGAAGAATGCAACCACCACACTCAATAAACTTCCAGAAACTTTCGCAACAGCCACATTCAAGGAAGATCCCTCAATAGCAGTTACCGATTGCAAATCATTGTTTGATTTGGTCACTCGGACTGCTCCACCCAGCTGCCAGGAGTTTCGTACACAACTACAGGCAAGAGCCATTAAAGACTTGCTGGCTGAAGGGGTAAGACTTAGATGGGTTCACACGGGGGCACAGCTGGCAGATGCATTAACCAAAATTATGCAATGTCATTTTCTCCGTCATACCCTCCAATGTGGCAAATACTCCTTACATGACGAGACTGAGATCCTCAAAGAAAGGGCATGCAACCGAACCAGGGTGAAGTGGCTCCAAGCTACCACAGGTGGAGAAAGCAAAGATCAACAAGAAGAGTAGAAAACTCTTGTTTTTACGAGTGTGAATGAACAAATGATCCCAGTCATGTTCTTGCTTTCTTGTCACATGTGCATAGCCTTCCATGCATGTTCCGGAAGCTTGTGTGGAATGATGGTCCAGGTTGTGTGACCTGATTTCTCTTTCACTTACTTACAGCATGAGGGTTCACCTGAAGACGTGGAAATCCTCAGCCGCTTTGGCTGACTGGCAGCTCGTGGTGGGAGGGCTGAGGAAGCGCTTGAAGCCATAGGATTGAGGCCAATCCTTTCTGGTTTGCTGAGGACAGCATTTATCGGTGGCATCAGTGCCTTTGGTCTTTCTGCTTGGAAGCCTGACAACATTTACCATCTTGGCTGCTTGTGAAAACGTTTGCGAGTGCGCTGGAGCTGGTGAAGGGGATTTTCTACCAGTGTGGAGCGATTCACAAATTATATGTATATATATATATACATACATATATACACAGCTATTCCCCAGCTGCCAGCTGAGGTTCTCTAAGACTCTAGACTTCTCAGAGGTGCTTCCCGTCCTCCTCCTCCTTCTCGTCCTCCAGATCTCAGTGACCTCAACCCCCAGATGTCAGATTCTGTCAGATAGACAGGATAGAAGGTCAAAGTACATACGTATATACCCTCTGGCTATTTAACATATATAGTCATGGGAAAAGGCGCATTTATAGAGGTTTACCTATTAAAAATGGTGATTTTCCATGGCCATGTGAAATAACAGGATGGTATATATATATATTATAATATACAGTTATATATATATATATATGTGTGTGTATCCAATATATACTTCCAGATGGTGTGTAAAAAAACTATGTCAGAATAATGTGTCAGGGTGGGGATCACTCAAAGGAAGTAATTCTTGAACATATCTGAGATATGTTTTGTAAATACAAGTTGGGAAGTTCAGCTGCAAAAATGTGGATTGTACAAGGAATGAGGCAGTGTCACCACTTCGCATTGGAATATATTTATTTTGGTGAAAGCTAAAAACCCAAATCGAGCCTTGGAACCCGCTCAGAATTGGGGCCGTAAAAGATGATTCACCTACTGGTTTTTTTAGAAATGGCAATTAATACGGGTTCCACATTAGATGTAACAGGAACAAATCTGAGGGCCATCGGCAAGAGTTTATGTCCAAGGGCTGACGACTTCTGGAAGCCTTGCTTGAATTAAAACCGTTTGTCCAGCAGGGGGAGACATTAGCGGGTGACACAATGAAGATATTTCAACCGGCTTTGCGGAGCAAAGAAGGAGAAGATCGAAGAAGCTCTGCAACAATTTCGAGTCTTGATCGCATACAAGCACGAACAGTGGGATGATCATGGTGGTGATTAAAGATTATGTTGAATATCTGGCGATCTCACGGTCCAGTTCCTCATTAAATGGTAAGGGGAAAGTATCAAATGCGGCCTGAAAACAGGTGTGGGATTAATCTTATATCGGTTGAGATCATCATAAATCCTACTCCTGATCGTCATGCGCCTCAAAAGCCGATGTCGCCCCACTACTGCAGAAACTCCCTTTAGAGAATTACAGATTGGATTTTTGAATCGGACTGGAAAATCAGCCAGTATCCAGATTTCCTGTCTTTACCTCAAGATAAAGAGCCTCAGTTGCACGTCCTAATTCTGGTGTCCTGGTGGCTCAACCATCGCATTTCCCAGAATTGGATTGGATCTCTTGGGCGTGAGAACGCCCTTTATTTTTCGTGATATTTCATGGTAAACTAACAAACCCATGGTTTTCTGTAGCTCAAACAATCCTCACCAGATGTAGATGGTTCCTCTCCCATCACCATTGCTATCCAGATTCCAAGTCAATCTCCAAATCATACCCCAGTCATACTTCCGAACCAAAGGCACGGCTTGATCCATAGGGCATGATTCTAGCTATCAAAAAAAGCGCCCCAGCCCCCCGGGCCATGGAAAGCTCAACCAGCCGCGGTCGCATCTAGGTCGGGCCTGGACCATTCGCATCAGCTGTGGCTCTCACAATACCCTGGATGCGGCGGATTTGTTGTCCATGATGGGTGTGGCCGAGTGTGACTCGGCCCATGAAGGGCAGATTGACATGTTTTGTTACCCTCTGGTAATTTAACATAGCTATTGAAAATGGTGATTCCCCATAGTCATGTTAGTTTACCAGAGGGTAAAATCTAGAGGTCACCTGGCAGGTGGGGACACAGATACTTTATCCATGGTTTAAATCCGCAGTTTCGGTGTTTTGTTTTTGGTTTGTTGTTGCTAAAACAAACAATCATCCATCCCTGGTATTGTATTAGATCCTTTTTGATGGTCCAGCATCTATCAATCATCAACTTCTCAATCATCTATAAAGCCATACATATATATTTATATATATATATATATATAACTCATCTAACAAATCAACTCTCTCTATATATATATATATGCACATAAACCATCAAATGAAGCAAATGTATTCAAAATCCAAATCATCTACAAGTCATCAAGCATTATATATATATATATATGAGTATACTGTATATAATTTCTGGCTATTCCCATTCCCATCGTTTTTCCCAGCGTTTTTGCTCAACCACCGAGGCAAGGCCGGGCTTATGGAGCCTGGCCTCCGCCACGCCACAGAGGGCTACGAGCTGCGGCAGCGCCTGGAGGGACGTTTAGCGACGCCCTACGGGGCCACGCTGATGCAAAACCTGGGACGTTGCTGTTGGTTGGCCGGAGATGATCAGAAGTTTGGGCCGCACGTGGTGAGGGACGTTGTTTTTTTGGGGGAAATTTTGGGGATGGGGATTTATCTGATGTGAAAAGAGTTGGAAATGGATGGAGACCATGAAATATGGAAGGATTTTTGGATGGACATCCCTTTTTTCTGAAACGAGTGGGAAATGGATGGAAATACCATGAAATAGATTGAAATAGCATGTATATAAATGGATGTTTAATCGGAAGTTTAGGTGGCAAAAAATCGTGGGATATGGTGGGATGTTTGGGAAATCCACTGTTTTGGTGATGACTAATAATCCCTAATATGTTGGATGTTTATGATTTTTTGAAGATATTTAATCAACAATCCACTGTTTGGAATGGATGTTTGTTGTGGGAACACACTATCCAGAAATGGTATGATTTGCTGCAGTTTGGGGTGGGATAAATTCATGGAGAATCAATTTAAATGGATGTGTTTTTTTAGGGATGCATGTATGAAACGTGGTGATGTATATGATGTAGAAATGGACATCCAGGGTCGTGGGATTTGGTTATATACTATACTGTGTTAGTTTTTGTTGGCGAGCTAGGATATCACGGGAGACTAATCTGCGGCAGTTCAATTGATGGGAAATCCGCTGTAATTGCATGTTTTCAATGGGACGTTTATCCTGTAATGGTATGGGAAATTTCTCAATATCACAACGTATTTGCTGCAGTGTGGGTGGAATTTAATAGGTTGTTTTCTCTTAAGGGTGCTTCTGATGGGAAAGTCATCAAGAAAGGTATGATTTGCTGCAGTTTTTGGATGCAGGTTTTTGCGTGAGTGTCCATCAACCACTGGTGAAACCCGATTCACCTGCTGCCCAGGAGAGCCCTGCAGCACCTGGATGCTTAGCGATTCCACAGGGCAGAAGGGCAGGTTGATGTCGGGAAACGATATAGCCTCTTGAAAATTGGGATAATATCTGGGTCAACATACTCCAATGGCATGGATAAAGCCTGATAAACCTATGACATCCTATGACCACATAAGACGTAAATGTTACAAATTGGGATCAGATTGGGTTTGTCCCCCCAATCTCCAAGCATTTACAAAGTTCAGGGATCATTTCAGCAACAGATTGGCTTGTTGCCGGAAAGGGATTGGATTCCCCACGAGTCGAGACCAGGAAAACATCGAAGAACCAGGGCCTGGTGTACAAAAAGATCATTTTGATATGCTCAACGCAGGGTGTATTTCCAGGATTTTCCTACATGTCAGTCATTTTTTGTTGTAAATGATGGTTATCTGGTCAATATTCAAGACATGGAGCAAGTGCGATTGAGAAGGCTGCTGAGCATTGAGATTTTGGAATTTGACCTACTTGCACAATCAGTGCACGGAAGGATGGGCACATACCAGCATAGCCAAAGGATTGTGCTTGTTGCTTTTGTATCGTTTTGTCATGTGTCATGGCTGTGGGGGTATGAGCCTCTTATATCATATATATATATATATACACATGGAGGTTTCCTAAAATAGGGGTACCCCCAAATCATCCATTTTAGATGGGGATTTTCCGTTATAAACTTACCATTTTTGGATACCCCCGATTTATGGAACCCCCCCCAGTCGGATTTCACGTTTCTGCAAGCAGATCCAAGGAGGAGAGCAGAGCCGTTCTGGAAAGGACTGGGATGCTGAAGTCTGCACAAGGCCCTGGTGTTGGAATTTTCGGTGTCTTTGGATCAACGTTTTTTTGGGATCGGTCTTGGAAACTCATCATTTGGATGCTACCACAAGATAGATTATATAGGTTCCATATGTGGTACATGTGGTGCGTGTTCCTAAATCTGGATTAAAGTTGGACGCTGATTAGTGTAAGTGGGGGGGGCAAACAATTTATATAGTTAATATAGTTATACTCTATTACTCAAAATTTTCTTGGGACCAGGTCTGGGGAACTCAGGATGATCGATTTAAGTAAAGATTCCAATTGATGCCAATCTACTTTCAGTCGTTGTTCCTTTTAAGTCCAAAAAAACATATGGATTACAGTAGTAACGATTTTAATTCATTTGAAACTACTGTCAATTGATTTTCTTTTGTATAACTTAAGTGAAATCTAAGGATAAGAAAGGATTTCAATTTTGTGTCAATCTACTTTAACAAGGCTAGAAATCTATGGACAAGTAAGGCCTTCGCAAGTAACAGTTTTTTTTTCCAAAGAGAGGTTGATAAAATGTTTTAAGATGTTTGTTTACCCCATCCAAACAATTATATGATTGAGGATCTGAGTCACTCATGGGCTACAATCTTGAAAAATTGTTTGGGTGCGGTTCTTTTTTCAAATCAGGGTTTTGTAGGAATTGAGTTTGGGAAACCTTATTTTTGTGTCCTATTTTGTCCTTTGGGTGGGTTGGGGTGGGGTGGGGCAACAACGTTCAAGTGACATTTACACACACACACGTGGTGCTACGCTACGGGACGTTTTCTTGCGCTGGGGTGGGGTGGGTGGGGTAGGGTGAGGCAATCATGCTACGCTGTTGGACGTTCTCTTGCATGTGCAGACATACGTCATGCTACGCGACTGGACGTTCTCTGGCATGTGCACACATACGTCATGATATACTACTGAAGGTTTACCATAAATCCTGGTTAAAGCGACTTGGCCATTTTTAATTGGGACACCACCTTGTGCTGCAGACATGTTCGGAGGTGCAAATTTGGCTCAGTTCACCGCGAAGGTTCATTGCAGACTGGGAGATGCTGGGCTAAAACAGTGGGTTATCACTATCAAACATGGTCATTAAAAATTGTCCCAAGTTGGGATACTTCAGGTTTGTCTGAGAATTTAGGAGAACACAAGTTAATCCAATGGTTGATCATGTTCCTTATGACAAAGATTGCCATATCTGGGCGTCACAATTTTAAGACACACCCTTTGAATCCCTTTTATATCTTTGGGGAATACTTAAAGTGAATAGGAACTAAAGATCTAAATCCTAGCTTCGTTGAACATGCACCAACTTCAGATCAGGTGTTGTACGGCCAGCCACACGGCCAATGACTCATGAGCACATAGTCACTCAAGTTAGAGAAAAAACATGTTGGAAATATGGGGGTGGGTCAATACCTATTATTATCAATTCTAATGGGATGAACATCCATTTACCAGCTATTTTGGGGTTCACCAGGGGTACAAGGTTTTGACACACTGCCATATGATGAAGCGAACCCTGATTTGTTTGGTATGTCGACCTATGAGTACTTTGATGGTCTAGGTATGAGCCAGTGTAGGGCATCGAGACCCAATGGTGGCAGTGTCCACCTTGGATTTCAGGGGTCTTTTTCTTGGCCCATGATGCATCAACATGCATCAAAAGGAGCAAATTATATAGAACTTATTGAAGTTTGTAGGTGCTTATTAACTTACTGGTGCTTAGCAGGATTTAGCAGGGACTTTTTGGGAATGATCCCAGTCATCACTAGTAATTTCATCATCCCAGCAACCCCCAGCAACCCATCCAGCAACCCTACGTAAAGCGCACCAGTCAGTTAACTAACCATCTTAACCCCAGGTGAGATTCAAACTTCCCCACAGAGTCGATCGATTTTGGTGATTTTCGGCGCGCTGAGTTTCCAAAAAAGGCCCCCAAAAAGGCCATGTTTTCGATTTCACCGAGCAATTTCACAGATCATTCATGAAGAAGCGACACATCATGAATGTTAATGAATATCATGGAATATCACATATCACAAATATGGATGATCATGTGAAATGGATGATAATGGATGATATATAAATTGGATGATAATGGATGGTTGACATAGGAATATCACATCTGGTTGGTGGTTTGGAACATGAATGGATTTGATTTTTCCATCTATTGGGAATTTCATCATCCCAAGTGACTTTCACTCCATCATTTTTTAGAGGGGTAGGTCAACCACCAACCAGATGCCATTAAAATGCCCATTAGATCCCATTAAACCACTATAAAATCCCATTAAACCACCATTAAATGCCATTTATCCCAGCAAAAATTCCATGCACTACCGGATGTTCGATCTCCACAAACCGGGTCGACACTGCGACGCGGCGACTCGTTGAGGACCCCACCAAAGAGCTGGAGCTCCTGTACGATGCGAAAGAATTTTCGGAGGCGGTGAGGGGACATATTTTTTTACAGATTTGTTCCATCAAAATCCATCCTTTCCCTAACAAGCTGACAGTGGTTTTACCGATGTTGTTTTACCATGTTTTACCGATATGTTTGATGATTGTTGTGTGTTTTTGAATAGTTTTTGTGGAGGGCAAGTGATAAAAAAAGGACAGACATGGGACTGACACCAATGGCATGGACGGATAACTCGGGGAGAACTGTTCACCAGCCATGGTTTCTTGGGTATCTGAATATGATCTCTTACGTTCTGAAAAAAGTATCAAATATGATTGAATAGATTAAATATGATATATATATACATATTATTATATATACTATCTATATATTATATAATTATATTATAATTATAATATGATATATCTCTGGAAAATGGAGAGCTTTTGACCTGGAGGACCTAGACAGCAACTGTTGATCTCTGCCAGAGATTCCGAATCTCTGGCCCTGGCAGATCGTGTTGTTTCTATTTTTGGGGGGGCGAAGAACGAGACGAAATCCAAAAATTACATGATTGATACTATATGTACATATATATCTGGGTAAATTTCATCACGACCTCACTGTTCTCCCTCACTGGAATCCTGGTTAGGATTCGGGGAGTCATCCCCAACTGGCCGCAACAATTCAGGTTGGTGAATTATTATAATTTATACCCAGATAAATATATATATATGTGTGGTTATTGTTGATGGACCTAGAGTGGATCTACGTCCCTCCCATCGGGATGAGAATTGTTCGTTGTTCCATGTTTTAGATTGATCACTGGATTGATTGGAAACTCTGCAGGGAAATCCCATGAAATCTCTGGGTAAACCTTGGTTCGATACTTTAGTATAATCTATCAATCTATCAATGGTAAACTATACTAACCAGCTGAATAGCTGACTTTCTTTGACATCTAAGATTCACCATGACCGAAAAAAAGCAAAAG